GTACTACTAGGAGCATTCTTACTACTAGTAACAAGAAGCTACTAGGGGCTTTATGTTGACTTAGGCTGTCAAGACTTTTGGCTGTGTTGTCTCACAAGCGTGTTAGAACATACCTGTGCTGCTTGTCGGTGTTGATTCCATTGTCATGCTCCGAAGGGAGAGACAGAGTTCTTATCCTCTTCCATAGTCCTGTCCAAGAGCATTTGGCATGGCTTTGTTTGGGTGTGTTGACCGAAACCTGTTGAAATTCTTAGCCCCGGAAGTATGCAAGTCCTTGTTCAGGGGGTCTCAAACAGCAATGGACTTCAGATTGGTAGAACAGGCCTTTGCTTAGTCAGATGAGCATCGTTCAAAACTGTTCATATTTAGTAAGGACATGGTGATGAGTCATAAGTCATAAAGACAGTAACCCAAAACCCGATTGGCGTAAGGTTGCGTAAGCAGTTATTGACTGTAGCACTTGCGTAAGCTAAGTGCGTAAGCTTCACTTCTCCATGTAAAATATGCAAAAAGTCAAGCGCGTAAGCTCATGTTGTGGTGTGGTGGAGAACGTTTGTCCGTATGTATTTGCGTAAGCTCCGCATAAGCACTTCATGTCCCCTGCATGGCGCGTAAGCTGAAATATGAGTCGCGTAAGGAAAGCTCAAGCATGTGCGTAAGCACCTCCTTACGACCCTTCGCTCCAAACGTAGGTTTTGAACAACGCTCAGATGGAGACAATTTGTCCCAAAAAGACAAGCTCATTGCTGAACTGTTGATACAATTACCAAACAAAGTCTTAGTGTTACCACAAAGAACACCTCGTACATTGTTACTTCTCTGAGTGAGTAAGCCTAGAAGAACTTCCATCACTTTCAAGTTACCAAGCAGGTTTGATATTTTGCAGGACTTGATTGAGCAATGTGACCACAAGTTGATGCTGGGCGGAATGGGCGTGAGCATTTGTGGTGTTTGCACCTATGCTGCAGCGGCCTGGACTGCAGATGTCGTGACAGTTATCATATGTAATTATATATATATTTAGAGAGAGAGAGATAGAGATATGCCGATATGCTCGTGTAGAAATGCTGTGAGCAGATGCAAATCATTTGCAACTACTAGAATGTCAGCACAAACGAACGGAAACATCCAAGCTGTCGAGATGCACAAATTGTATTAGACGAAGCGGACTAGCTTGTCAGAAGGACTGTTCTCTTCCAAACCATGATGCTTTATGGATCTAACAGGCAAATCTAACAGCCGAGATGTTGTGTCAAGTATGGGAAAGCAACCCTTGTCGCATTTGCATGCACAGGTGCCTGGGCGCCAAATCTTCGCCTCCAACGGAGAGTGTATGGACTATGACCCTTCCCCCGGTGCGGGGAACAATGTGTAACTCATCAAGTGTTATTGAACTTAGATGTCGATCCTTGTGATGGCTAAATCCAAAATGATGGAAGGTTTCAGAGAGAAGGCTGGTCTTTGGTGCTTCCTTGCCGAGGTTTCATAAGTGGCGATATTGTACTGTAGTGGCTGTTTGTTTTGCTTAGCGTCCTCGAGTCCCGTATCTAAGGAAGGTGCATCCTTGCCACATCGATGCAAACCAAAAATGGTACTTTGAGGGCGAGCTGCTGAAGACAGACTACAATGACCTTTGCTTGGACTACAACATGGGAAACGGGGAAGTACCTTAGCTGCAGAAGCTAAAGCGCTCGAGCTGGAGTGACAAGCCTGCCGAGCCCAGACAACTATGAGTCAGTGGCACCATTAGTCCACTCAGCTCCATACTGCATACAGGATTTATGCAGGGGCTGCCTCGCTCCCACACGCGAAAAGGGAAGTTTTCATGTGTTTTGGTGTTTTGAATCGGTGTTTGGAAACTGATTCAACAGGCACTCGTTGGATGCAAGCTTTGCCTTGTCTATTTGCAACCAGGACCAGTCGTGGTGCATCTATCCTAGGGGGTATGTATCCTGTAACTGTTGCTGGTGCGTCTTAGCCACTTCCTTACTTGAAGTGGAAGCGCTTTTGTTTTCCCCAGGACCCTCCATGAAGGCATGTCAAAGGAACACATATTGACAAATGAAACTTTGTTGACAGGTTAAAGACATGCGTGCCGTAACAACTTCATTCATGGAGCACCAACATCTCCGCAGCAACTGCAATGCACGTCAATACCCCCGGCTTGCAGTGTGAGAACTTTCCTTTGAAATGATCATGGACACGAACTTGGCTTGTTCACTCTGTCCCCACAACACGTTTAATTTAACAACATCGAGATGACAATGAACGGCTCATGCCGCACGCCAATGATAGTCGTGTGAAGTCATTTGGCAATGATTGATGTGAGGATGATTGATGTATTGGTGTTGTGATGATTCGAAGCTGAGGATGTGAAATCGATAACAAAGGAGGATGACGTACTTGCTGGCGCTAGAGGTCTTGTGTGAAAACATGTCAAACATGGTCAAACCCCTCGTGACCCTGTGCACAGTTGCCTTGTTTGCCTGGCTGCAGGGCAAGTCTCATAGTGGACATGTTGCGTGAAAGTGCTACAGCATTTAGCACATGTTCGCTGGTTTCCACAAAGTTTTGATGTGGTCTTGAATGCCAGAGGTCTACATGCATCCTTGCCACCATGGAGCCAACCAGCATTGGTACTTTGACGGCGAGCTCTTAAAGAACAGATACGACAACAAATGTGTTTCGGCAGATTGGTGGTCCGCACTGGCCTTTCTGGGCCAACCTGAAGTGAACTATGAGCAAGACATTGAAGTCATTTGCAGCTTTTGATTTGTCGAGCCAGTCGAACCCTTTTTCAAGTGCTCGACTTTGTCTCAGAGTGTTCAGAGTGGGTTCTTGAGGCTTGGATTTCCAACCCGATTCCAAGAACATCTATATGGGCAATTGCCCAGGGAGCAATACTCAGCACTTTACCTGGAGCCAGGCACAACATGCATCAGAGTATATTCTCGGTAAACACCAAACCGCTGGGTGTCTATAGATGCGAGATCCTCAATCGCTGCGTGTTGTTGACACGGCATCGGACTGAGACAAGACGAGACCTCGGAAATTTCGAGAAGATAAACCCGCAAGCGCAAAGGAATGCGATTCTCAATGAAACCCTGAAAGAAAAGGGAACCACTGTTTCCTTCCCCACACACACTTAGAATAAAGCTCAGATGAGCACAAAGTCAGCGGCTTCAGAAGTAATTATATAATCTGGAGTGCATTAACGCTTTACTGCATTAGCCGATCAGACCTTGTCCTTGGAAACAGACTTATAAAGGGCCAAGAACAACAGGTCAAAATTGTTTCTGCGTCACAGAAATATCTGGGTAGTTCAAGTTTTCTCAGAAATTAATATGGATAAGTACATAAAAAAGTGGAAAGCCTCCTGTTGTAGACGAAGGAAGCTCTCATAGACTCATAGGTCATAGTGGTCATAGTGGTAGTGAAGCAGAAAGAGAACCGACAGACAAGTCTGCCGACGAACTCTGCCTCCATCGCTCTATAGTGTAGGTAAGCAGGTACGTGATTGAAGTGCCCTTCAATCATATCCTGACGAAAGGCTGGAGCTTCGTTGGGTTAGGCAAGCCAAATGTCCCTGATCCCCTTGCGTAGTTCTTTTTTAAAAAATTGGTGTGTGGCCCTTGGAAACAGGGATACACACACATACACACACGCCTTGACAGCAAGTGCATCGTCAAATGGCTTTCCGTGCAGGCAGTGCATGGCGGTCAGCAAATTCGCAGTGACAACAATGGTAAATGCATGCGTGTGGAAGCTGAGCCGTGGCCTGAAAACGCTAAACAAACACAACACTGGTTGCTGTTTTCTCAATGGCTTCATGGTGCATTTTATGGTCGTTGGTTTCGGTAAGAGCGAACATTCATCAAAAGGGCTGCAAAAACGACACAAAAGTCACGATTGAGATGTGCATGGTTGGATGCCTGGCGACGAGCATTTGGATGCATTTGGACAGAAATTGCCGACGTAGGCGAAATTGGAAGTACAAAGGAAATCATCCGGCTAGCTCAACCTCAGAGACCTTCTGGTCTAAGATCTTCCAGCGCTTGAAGTTCAGGATTCCATAGATTGGTAGATATATGTTGTGCATAGTGGAGACTTTATGTGGTAAGTTGACAGGCGGTGGGCTTTTCTTTCCCGCAGGTTTGCTTGTACTCTAAAGTTCCGACCGCTACGGCTTCAGCCAAATTTTTACTCTGAGGATGGAAATGTGAAAATTGGCGACTGTGATGTCTCTATGGCAAATCGATTCTACTGGGATGGTGTGCCTTTCCCGCAATTGAATTGCGGGCAACATTGTGCGCGAGAACCACCCGATCCCTCTTGAACCCTTCTGAAATGGATGACCCTGGGCCATATGGGTCAAGAAGGTTGCCAAAACTGAGGCCGAGCCTGAATGCGCACATTGTGGTGTTGAGACGATTTGTTTACAGACCAGTTGGCACCAGCAAGCACACTTCACGTGGCATTGTTTGACCATACCCGGTCCACAGAGGGGGTCCAGTCGGCCCGCACCCTTGAGAAATTCGACCATGGAACAAGGGAAGAAGCTTTTGAAGAGGTTGGAGCAAGCACACAAAACCAGGCCTTTGAAGAGGTTAGGAAGAGAGTTGATTTTTCTTCGGCTTGTGCGTCCCATGTTGAAGTGAGGAGGGGTGCGTAGCCATGCGTAGCCACGATTCTGGTGCTCCAAACAGGGAAAACATGGGAGAACCTTCTTCCATCGGCATTTTGAAATTCTGAAATGGGTGGATCCCCTGCTGTTTGGCACTCATTTCTGGGACCTGCAATGACCTGCACGAAACTGTTCTACACATGTACTGCAAGAGCACGCTGGTGTTAAGTTCTGGTCTGACATGTGCGTGTGTGTGAGTCCGTGTCTCCTATCCATTCCTATCCGACAGAGTGCGGCCCAACTTTACATCCTACTTCCACCTCGTTGATGCAATTTATTGTTGAATTAGGAACTCAATCAGGAGGACAACCGAGGTTTTTCTAAGTGGCTATCATTTGAGGGAAAGTAAGCATTCTTTCTCCATGCTGTCTTGATGGATCTGTTGGGGATGCCGTTAGGACTTCAGGAACTTAGGACCTACTTGTAAGGAAGTGTTGTCCCTTTCGGCAAGGTATGATTTGATCTAACAATCATAGATTTAGCTGTCAGACACAGTGTTTTTCAGTCGAGGCTACCGTGATCACGTAAATTCTTTCCCAGGCAATTGCTGGCACGCTAAGGAAATGATCAAATCTGAGAAGACCGGCCAATGTTTGGACTATCATGTTAGCGTTGGGAACATTCAGATGTGCCTTGGCAAGTGACAAACCTTGCATCAAAAAGCACGCCGTTTTTGCGAGGTGAACAAAGTCCTATTCCGCAACTCTCCATTCTTCTGAAACTTTTCTTCCGCAACTATGTGGTACTCTTCCGCAACTACTCTTCAGAAACAATTCTTCAGAAACTATTTTGGGATCTTCAGGAACTATTTTGCGATCTTCAGAAACTATTTCGCGATCTTCAGAAACTATTTCGCGATCTTCAGAAACTATTTCGCGATCTTCAGAAACTATTTCGCGATCTTCAGAAACTATTCCGCAATCTTCAGAGACTATTTCGCGATCTTCAGAAAGCTAACTTTAGAAAGTACTCCTCAGAACTTTTACAATGCTGCAGCCAATTTGCATGAAAGAGCACTGGGTGGGTGGGGGGTGGGTGGGTGGGTGGGATATTGACGTACCTTGTGACGGCTACGGTATATACATGCTTGTGTTGCGATCTGCAGCAAGTTTTTCGTGCAGGTTTGATGTTGCTCTTCGACTCTGTGCAGTTTCCGAACATTAGTTTCTGAAGAACACCGTAGAGTTTCCAAAGATTAGTTTCCGAAGAATAGTTTCCGAAGAAACCCGTAAAGTTTCCGAAGATCACTTTTTAGTTGCCGAAGATTAGTTTCCACTTAACAGCTTCCGAAGAACACCGTAAAGTTTCCGAAGAAAGCCGCATAGTTTCCGAAGATTAGTTTCCGAAGAAAGCCGTAAAGTTTCCGAAGATCAACTTTTAATTTCCGAATAGAACTTTGACCTTGCGAGGTCCTCAAACGTTGGCGATCAGGTGGTAGGCAACGGTAGCTTGTTGCGCCGCCAATTGGACGGCTGAGTAGCTTCAAGCTACTAGTAGCGTCCTTGCTCCAAGTAGAAGTGCCCTTTGTTACTAGTAGCTTCTTGTTACTAAGTAGTAAGGCCAGGAGCTACTAATAGCGTCCTTGCTCCAAGTAGAAACGCCCTTTGTTACTAGTAGCTTCTTGTTGTTAGTAGCAAGGCCAGGAGCTACTAGTAGCGTCCTTGCTCCTAGTAGAAATGCCCTTTGTTACTAGTAGCTTCTTGTTACTAGTAGTAAGGCCAGGAGCTACTAGTAGCGTCCTTGCTCCCAGTTGAAATGCCATTTGTTACTAGTAGCTTCTTGTTACTAGTAGTAAGGCCAGGAACTACTACTAGCGTCCTTGCTCGTAGTAGAAATGCCCTTTGTTACAAGTAGCTTCTTGATGCTAAGTAGTAAGGCCAGGAGCTACTAGTAGCGTCCTTGCACCAAGTAGAAATGCCCTTTGTTACCAGTTGCCTCTTGTTACAAAGTAGTAAGGCCAGGAACTACTAGTAGCGTCCTTGCTCCTAGTAGAAATGCCCTTTGTTACTAGTAGCTCCTTGTTACTGGTAGTAAGGCCAGGAGCTACTAGTAGCGTCCTTGCTCCAAGTAGAAATGCCCTTTGTTACTAGTAGCTTCTTGTTACTAGTAGTAAGGCCAGGAGCTACTAGTAGCGTC